GGTTCAAACAGAGGTGGGCAGCAACTATGCTTAACATGAGTTTCTTCTGCCTTATTTTGTGTTTTATTCGCATTAGTTTATATTTTAGTCTTTGAATTTCAGAATTGGGAAACACTTTTTTCTCAGTCTATTTATGTTCATTTTTTGATTGGCGACTTTTTAGTTATACTTTACTTATTCTTGTGTAAAACTAAAGGTATGATACTCTGCCCACCTCTGTGTACAACCCCAAGCTTCCACAAAATGTTACGTTTTTCAAGCCGTTCTTTGTTCCTTACTGTTTGTATTTGAGATTATTTTTGGTTTTCTTCCTGCTGCTCTTCCATAATTGGTGGAGTTGTTGTTTATAGTTATTGACTTAACAAATTATCCAGCCTCAGCTGCTGAGAGGATGCTAAAACGTTTATGCGCTTTTTAGCACTGAGAATCAGTGTATTGCACTGATTCTCTATATTTGTCATGCATAGCTCTGCCTCCAGGCTGCCATAAAGTGTCTCCCAGATTCCTGGAGCTGTCGGAGAGCGTGTCTTCTTCTCCCTGGAGGTTCCCTGCCATCGTCGCTCACTGCTTTGGGCTGGACCTGACTCCTCCTGCCTTGTACAACACACTTAAACTGTGTCTGCTGCTCAGCTTGGTGCAGACCAGAACCGATGCAGACGATCCCAGTTTGGATCTCCTGGTGGTCACAGCTGACACACTCATATTAGACAGGTAAAAAAACAATGTCGATGAGCACCCGTAATATCATCAAATTTAAACAAAGCTCGACTCCAATAATTCTCCCCTCCTTTTTCTGCTAGACTAATGACATACAGTTTGAGTCTGGCATGTCGCGGGGTCAGACATCAGGCCTCCGCTGAGATGTTTGCCTCTCTGTCCCGAGACGAACATGGAGCAGGAACCGCCAACATCCATGCTGGCTCTGCACTACTCGCCTCTGGGGGCATTTGTATGCTGGGAGATCTTGGCTTTTACAGAAAGGACAAACTGGACTACATACAGTCAGGTTTGCACCCTCCTCCTGGTTTGGTAAGAGCAGCATTTTTTGATGAAGGTTTAGGAGTGCATGTCTTTATGTTGTCAGTTCTGGAGAGCCGCTCTGTGTCTGTGTTCATCCCTGGGAAGAAGTACGGAGAGGAAGGTGACCAGCAGCTTTCCTTTCCGGTTCAGTGCAACTTCTGGGCTCTCACAGACTCCTCTCAGCGATCTGGGAGGCCGGACTCAGCTGTACTGGGAACTGCAGTAAGTGCTATGACAACATAATGCCATGCAAGACAATGTCAAGGAGTTTTACTGAATTCAGAGGTTATTTTTATGACATGACAGCATGAAAGGAAACTTGAGCAGCTTAGTTATCTTAAAGAGTGAAGACTGGAAAAATATGAAAACAGCATTTATCATTTTCAAGGTCTAAGTATGGAGAAAAGCTTGAGTTTAAAGACTTTATTATTTGTTTAAAGTTGTAGAAAATCACTAGATTGTTTTCCTCTGGTTCTTACTGTATATTTAAACTAAATATTTCGCATTTGATTTATCACTGTAGTTTAGCATTTTATTCATTAACATTTTGTTAACTACTCGGAACTCATACATAAAATGGTCGCTTCACATCTAAATAACTATATTAGTTTTGATCCATATCTGTGATACTTACCTTTGGTTTTGCATAAATTCTCACCAAAGACTTAAATAAAATAATTTTTTCTTACAAACAATAAAAATAGTATGATCATCAACGTGTTATAAATTCTGATTAGTCTATGTTAATGTATAAATTTAAGTGATTAAAAATATAGATTTTTAAATTGAGCTATTCTTATTTGGTACAGATGTACAAAAAGCTATAATATTGCTTTTATTGCACTTATAAATAAGAAGCTGACTTGTTTTATGATTTGTAGAACATACAATTATTATTGTAAGCTTTTAATGCTTTTTATTATAAACTTAAAAAAATACAATTTGAGTCAGAGGAGAAGTAATCTTAAAAAGTCTGAAAATTAAGATGTGAAGAAATAAAGAAAATGTGCAAATTTTAGCTTTAAGATACAATTTCTTTGCTTCTGGATAAATTGTTGGTGATAATTAGTTTTCGACAACAGCACTGTTGAGATCTGATTCTGTCTTATTTTTATTGCGAGCAGGAAATGGGTCCCTTGCAAGCCCAGCTAGCGGAAGCTTTTGGCCTCGTCATTCAATGTGGAGACAGGGTGGGAGAGCGGGGCGCAGTCGCCCAGGCTGTCCACACCCTCCAGCAAGCTGTGCAGCCTGGACGTCACCCTCATCCATCCTGCTGGGAGTTTTCCACTGAAGACTACCAGGAGGTTTACAAACATCTTCTGTTGCAGTGCTCTTTTCATTGATTCATTGTTGATTTCATTTTTACTTTCAAACATTTGGTGTTTCAGCTGGTGGCTCATTCTCGTGGTTTGCAAGTGGAGCTCAGCCCTGAAGCAAAGAAACTGATCCATGGTTACTACATGGCGAGCCGTCGAGCTCGCACTCAGAGTCAGGGAGTCAAGATTTCTTTGGCCTCCATCAAACTGCTGTAAGCACTCGTTCAAAATGCCAGGCATCGTTTTACTCTTGATGTCACATTTTTCCCCAAGTAACGATGTTTTCCAGTGTAATTTTGCCACCATCCACTAGATGGCATCCAAGTTCAAACCTTTGCTCCTCCATTTTTCACTGGATTATGACAACTGTTTACAAATCTCTTCCACCGTGGTGACACTTTTATGTGGAACTAAAACTTATGAAAACAAATCTGTTTTCAGTAAGTAGACTTAGAAGCAAACCACACTCATAATCTGAGCATATTTGTAGCTCACACTCTCTATCAGCTTTGATTCATTCATTTAAATCCTAAGCTATACACTTTTAATTTTAAAACATCACCAAGCATAAATGCTGTCATTTAGCAGGTTTCATTCTTTCCTGTTGTTTGGTCACAGGATCTCTTTGGCCGAGGCTCACTGCAAGCTATGCCTCAGGACTAAAGTACTGGAGGAAGACGCAGTGATCGCTGTGCTGCTGTGTGAAAACTCAGTCACTCTCAAGCATGGTAATAGTTTTTTCATTAGCACCTCTACAGTTAGCACATTTGCAGTTTCGTATTTACATCATCATGTAGGTGTGAGTTATACCAGTTGATGGATTAGATTCAATGCACACACACTGTTTATGTCTGGTAATTTATATGATCATGGTTTACAGCTAAAAATTTATAAATTATGAAAAAAAATACTGGCAAAAGTGTTGCATACACAGATATGTTGGGATACAGTGCAGCATTTAGTCGGGGTTGCTTTAATAGCATTCCTCAGATCTTCTTCGTCTTACTTTCGACTGACAAATTGATTTACTGTCGGGTTTAGTTTGCTGGCCAATCAAGCTCATTGATCGTTTTAACAATATTAGAAGCATAACCTGCTTTAAAAATTGCTCGGCTGCTCTGACATTCAACAAAAGTAATCACAGAAACATCACAAAAAACTTCTGACTTGATCTTGAGGATTCTCCACTGTTCCTCCATAAACTGAAACTTAGATTTCTCATCTGAAAAAAAGGACATTTATTTGACAGTTAGTATTTGACAGTTGTACCTAAACTCCTGGACACATCTGTGCGGTGGCTCATGAAGATCAGTCACCTTGGTAAGGCCCTTAAGGCTTTGGTTTTCTCTGGAGCTTGCGCACTTTTACCAATAGAGGCAAGCGTTTTTGCAAAAGTAGAATATTCTTTAACTATATGACAATCTGCCATGTGGCAAAAAAAAAGTCTCCTGTGTGCTTCTGAGAGCTGAATCTGTGATCACAGAGACAGAAAAAAATGGAAACACAACGACCTCCGGAATGCTGCTGCACTAATTCCATCATTTTATTTACTCATCAACATCTTTAATCCTTTAGAAAGACATGTATTTCATTTTAAATTTGGTTCTGAAAAAGAAAGAGGCAAATTACTGAGTCTTGAAAACATTCAGTTTTCCTGGAGACAACCTTGAGGTTTGGTCCAGTGAACGTGCAGAGATTCTTGGTCCAGTGAGCTGAGGACCCAATCAGGTTAACTGAAAGGTGACAGGATGTCTTATCAGGATGTTTTCAGATATCAGAACCTGTTTTGTTTTTTTTTCTCTTAATCATCCTCAAAGTTAGACCAGGTATTTAGAAGACACCATTATGAGCAAAAATCTAATTTACATTTTCAGAGAACACTAGGTGCCATTAAATCTTTCATCAGCTAAATAAAGCCTGAACCTTTATTCTCCGAATTGCCTTTAAATGTCATGTACTGTACGTTTATCTTTGCAGTTGATAACATTTGTTTAATTACTAATAGTTTATTTTGACTAGATGCAACTTCACCATTTACACCATTAATATATATTTTTATGTTTAAGATGTACTTCAATTCTTTCAATGTAGGCTCCCTGAAAAATAATCGCCCTTCAGATGGATTATTTTTTTAAGATTTGAAACAAAAGTATTTTGAGACTGATAACTTATTGCACATTGATACATTATATCTTAGCTAATGTTGAACTTGTAGTTCAAAGCGTCTCTTTTTCTAACTAAACCAATGCATAGAACTAGCATGGAATATAAAAATTTTTTATATCCGCCAACTTTCCTCTGGTAATTAAGATTAACGTCATTACATCATCTGGTATACATCATACACACATTTAAATATTGTGAGAGTATTTCACTGACTTATTGTACATTTAGTCTTTCTCCTGTACTGGTGTCTCCTCCAGGGGCCTCTGCCCTTGTTATCCCCCCTGATGCAGTCTTTCCTTGTGACTTGGGAGACGTGGATGGTCTGCAGAGGAGAGACGCCGCTCTGGACGAGCTCCACCAGATTATCTTACGCTTTGTCTATACATTCGCACCGGGAGCCGATGAATATATCAGAGAGGAGTAACATCTCTCAAAATATTCAGTAAGGTAGGAAAAAAAAAGAAATGCAATTCAAAGTCACACATTCTGCAGCAATTTAGATTTAGAAAGTTTATTATTTATAACAGAAATGTGAGTTGAAAGACAAAAAAAATTTTTTTAGAAATATAATTTATTGTCCTGCAGTAGCAAAGTGAAAAGCAAATAGAAGCATGCATTTTCATACAAAGTATAAAATAAGAAATAACAAGAACAGATTTGAGTCAAGTATCAATTTAACAACAGCTTTAAATTAAACTTACATAATTGTAATACACTATATTGCCAAAACTATTGGCTCACCTGTCTTGACTCACATATGAGTTTAAGTGACATCCCATTCCTAATCCATAGGATTCATTGATGGTCCACCCTTTGCAACTAGAACAGCTTCACCTCTTCTGGGAAGGCTGTCCACAAGGTTTATGAGTGTGTTTTTGTAAATTTTTGACCATTACTTCAGAAGCACATTTGAACGAGAAGGTCTGGTGCTCATTCTCTGGTCCAATTCATCCCAAAGGTGTTAATACTATCGGGTTGGGTTGAGGACTTTGAGCAGGCCAGTCAAGTTCATCTACACCAGACTCTTCTATCCACTGATGGACTGACGCACAGTCATGTTGGAAGAGGAAGGAGCCAGCTCCAAACTGTTCCCACAAAGTTGGAATTGTCCAAAATGTCTTGGTATGCTGAAGCATTCAGCGTTCCTTTCACTGGAACTAAGTTTGGAGGTCTGTGGTGAAAGACAGAACGTTGGTGACCTCTTTGCACTATATGCTCCGGCATCTGCTGACCCCGCTCTGTCAGTTTACGTGACTTACCTCTTCATGGCAGAGTTGTTGTCATTCCCAAACACTTTCAGTTTCTTATAACACGGCTGGCAGTTGACTGTAACGTTAGGAGCGAGAAAATTTCAGGACTGGATTTGTTGCACCGATTCACTGAGCTCCCGAGAGCGACCCATTCTTTCACAAATGTTTTCTCACCCAACTGGTTCCAGACACCTACCAAAATAATCAGAAAGTTAGTTATAAATGAAAGTTCTTACCCAAGTAAAGGTAAGAACAGTACTAGTTCAGTTTGTCACATTTTCAGCATTCCGTTTAAGTCTGATGGGTAAACGGCGAAAAGGTGGAACTCATCATTACAACTCAAACTATAAGCCTGCCGAATAAATACAATATTGACTTACCAGCATTTACAAAAATCTGCAACCAATCACCTGCAACATTTAGAGAATATTTGAAAAATTACGCAACAAAAATATTAGTCGTCTTCCAAATAAAACACTGAAGGAAGACTACATGTAAAACTGAGACTGGAAATTCAGTCATCACCATCTCACCACTCTAAAAGTCTGATGGGTAAACGGCGAAAAGGCGAATTCATCACTGTTCCAGTTGAGAATTAACCCACCTTTTCAACATTTCTAACCTCACTATAGTGCTTTATAAGTTAGCCTGGTATATTTAATTACTTGTGTAGTTACATAAGATTACTCACCTCAATCTGGATGGAGATAAATGGCTGCGTCTCTGATCACCAACATGACAAATCTAAATTATTCGGGGAAAATGAAACAGTAATTATCTTTCTTTATAAATGAAAATGAACCCTCATCAGAAATGGCTTATTATGCTGGCATTTCAGTTTGTCACGTTATCACCATTTTATTGTCTGATGGGTAAACGGCGAAAAGGTGGAACTCATCATTACAACTTGAAATATGAGCCTGCCAAATAGACACAATGTGGACTTACCAGCATTTAGGGATGTTCTTTTAAAGAAACCTGCAGAATTTGGAGAATATTTGAAAAATTAAGAAACTAAACGATTTGTCTTTTTCCAAATAAAACACTGAAGCAAGACTACATGTAAGACTGAGACTGGAATTTCAGTCGTCACCATCTCACCACTCTGAAGTCTGATGGGTAAACGGCGAAAAGGTAAATTCATCACTGTTCCAGTTGAGAATGAACCTACTTTTTAAACTAACCCTCAACATTTCTGACCTCACGACAATGCTTTAAGGTTAGCCTGTTATATTTAATTCATATTTGTGTAATTATTAAAGGAAATTACATAAGATTACTCACCTGAACCTGGACGCAGATAAATAGTCGTGTCTCTGGTCAACATGACAAATCTGAATCATTGGGGGAAAATTAAACAGTAATTATCTTTCTTAATGAATAAAAATGCACCCTCATGATAAATGGCTTTTTAATATGCTGGCGTTTCAGTTTGTCACATTATCACCATTTTATTGTCAGATGGGTAAACGGCAAAAAGGTGAACTCATCACTACAGCACCAGTAGTCACTATTGTTTATGACAATAGAGAGCTGTTATAAACTCACCTTATGGTGAAGACTGACAGGATCTGAAATAACACCAGAAAGGAGAGGATTAGTGCACAAAGTTTTCCATTTTTCAAGAGTTATCTTTGTCAGGCGCATCATGTGCTTGGATGAATGAAATCTAGTGAATGAGGAGGCACTATAGTGAGGATAGATGACTGATCACCTGAAGGTCAGAGGGTACAGCCGGCCACAGCTTGGGAGCACAGCTAACATGGCTAATCTGAGGACAGGTTCAACAGCAGGTCATGACCTTTGAAATGACCTTATCTCCTCTGTTATGACTTCCTGACCAGTGGATCTCTGCTCTAATTAAGATATGGACAACAGGGGACATGTTTCCTCTTTTCAGGTGTCGAAAAGGATGATTTATTGTTGTCCTTCAGGGAAAGCCCTAGTTCTCTTATCAGGGCGCATGGACACGCTGGGAGGGATTAAGGTTAACTCCTTAAAGCTACAGGCGTAGCAACAAAAATATTCACAGTTGTCTTGATTTTAATGTACAGGGTCCAAAATAGCATTTTTGTTCGTCCGCATTCACAAACCACATGGACTTTGCAATCCAGACTAATACAAAAAAAAGTGTACATCGTACCGGATTACTGAAATAATCCAAGTTATCACATTTTTGTTTTAGATGAAACAAGAAAATCGACTTTTTACGTGCAGATGTGCAAGCAAAGAGGGAAAAACAATGCTGCGGTCCCTTCACCACGTGGATGACGTGCTAACTGTGCTAACTACACATTCAGGGGCTAACAGCACATAATAAACGACACCAGTCACCACATTTGACACGACTAAAGGCAGGCGCGCACACACACACACTCACTTCTGCTTACCTAAACGGATCAGCATTAGTACAAATAAACGGCGGTCTGCTGGTAGGAAGGCTTTGGTTGAATTCTCGGCGCTGAGTGGAACTTCTTCCGCTCTGCCTGTTCCGTCCTGCGCGCCAGAGCTGCGCACTGCATCCAGACGCGCAGCGGAAGGGACCGCCGCGGTTTTGGACCGCCGCGGACTGAAAACGCTGAACATTTAAACCTCCATCATAATACATAAAATACAGCTGCAGTTCAAATCTGGTACAGATGAATTCTCAACCAAGCAAACCCGAATAGTGTATTTGAACGGTAAAACGTCTGCTTCTGTCATTTTAGCCTGACTTTGTACACAACTGAAAACATCATTATGCAAAAACAAAACAAAATTGAATTAAACAATGAATCATGCGTTATTTTTTTTAAAAATGCATTGACGTCAATTATAGTCGATTCTTGTGCCGCAAGATTAATGATGATAATAATAAAAACAAAATATACAATCCAGACATTTGTTGCAATTATCTCCAAAATTATGTTTTCCAAAGTTTTTAAATTGCGACTTCAGAATAAATGTAGTTTATTCAGTTTGGTAATGTTTTAAACTCCAGCATAATTATTTATGCTCAATATCAAGTGATTATTTTATGAACAGTTTTTCTCTTCATGTACTTGGTGTTTAAAGCGGTTTTAATGTAGAGGACAAAATTGTTTTATTTTACATTTTCTTTTAATGTATTTCTGCTATTAATTACTGACGCTACTCTAAACATGGTTATGCTTACCTCTGGATGGCAGAATATATTATCTGGCATATCACCCAGGCTAAATTAGACTAAATTAAATAATTGCCTCTGCTGTAAAAAGAGCATTTGAAAAAAAAAAAAAAAAACGAAAGAAAGAAAGATTAACCGTACAAGTTAACATAATAAATTCTGGATCAAATTCGTCAACTTTGCTTTTCTTAAATTCTTCATAGACTTTTCTTCTTGCATTCTTTTGTAATTTATTCACAGAAACACACATTTACAACCATGCATGCAAAAAGAAGAAACATGAGATAAAGAGCCTCCATTGTCGGCCCTCTGACAGACCACTTCACATGACAGATGCTAAGTTATTCACACATGCATTTAGTGCAAATGTCTCAAGTCAAAGTGCACGCTCAAGCATGACGGGCTCCACGGAATTTCTACCGAGATCAGACGCGGGACATGCGTGGAGCTGCATGGTGCGCGCACAAACTAACAGGAAATGCGTATTTTGTTCGACAGTTATATACAGTAAAATTCACGCAATATATTAATTTACATCGTCTTCGAGCTGCAGTGGAAGGACAGTTTTTCGTTGTGTTTTTTTTTTTTTTTTTTTGAGCTCATGCAAATTTCATGTCGCTTTCATGGCTACAACTCATGTCGGCCTATTGAGTGGAGGAGGAGGACGGGCCTTGGTTCTCTGAGTCGGAAGGATTGTTCAGGAACTGTCCAGTTGCTCCGACGTACAATCTGGATCGCATTGGCCATTTCTGGAAAAGCAATTTTAATGTAATATAAGTTTAAGTTTTAACAGTAAAATAAATAAATAACAGACATAACACTGCTCACCAACTTGACTAAAACATCAGAGTTATTTTCCAGCTTTATGATGATGATGATTAATAACACTGACCTTTACAGGGTGCAGGTATCCTTCACCTTTCAGTGAGTGTAACGCTTCTGTTTGTTTTGTGCTCTCTCCTTCATCCGCGCCTTCCTCCTGCAGTGTTCGAGTCAAATGGGCAATATAGGTGGTGGCTAGTATCAACACGTCGAGTTTGGACAGCTTGGTGTCCGGCGGTACCGACGGTAAAGTCCTCTGGAGCTCCAAGAACGCGTTCCTCAGCGTCTGCACGCGGCTCCTCTCCCGCGCCGCGTTGGCCGCCGCCGGGCGTCCCCGGCCCCCGAGCGCGCCGGTCTGCAGCGCCCTGGGCCGGTGCAGCTCACCGCGGCGGCGGCCGTCCGGACTGGGGCTGGAGCTGGGACTGGAGACCGGGCTGTCATCCACATCCACCACCGAGCTGGAGCAATTACCACCGTCCATTTGAAGCGCCTCACTTCCAACCATGTGGTTGTTACAAATCTGTAGATTTAATAGGAGACAAATAATAGTATTTATTGATGTCAAGACACAACTTGGTTTATTTATTCTGACTATTTATTGACTGTTAAGTTGAGTTTCTGCAATAAACTAACTTAAAATGGAGTTCACATGTTTTTCTGATTTTGTTCGTGCAAATTTTTAAAGCAAATTAAATGGACGAACCTGAGAAATGAAATAGACACAGATATATTTTTTACAGACATCCAAATATTCTCTGATTACTTTTTGATCCCCCTTCAAGCGTGAATTTTTGACCACATAACCGGATGACTGTAGGTGGATTTTACCTCTGGTATTTATCCAAAGCGCTGCTCTGATAAACGTCATGAATAAAATCCGAAATGGCCTTCTGATTGCGCAGTCCTTCCTCAAGCTGTATCCCCCAAAATGCGCGCATCCAACTCCTCACCTGTGCGCGTAAAAGTCCCCCGGAGCTCCTAATTTATTGGAAACACGCGGCGCACGTTGTTCTCTCTGGCGCAATTAATCACTCTGCCCATAGCCTGTGGCGCTCCCCTCACAGCGGAGAAAGCTGCTCCTCGCTGAACTTTTTTCTCTGTCTGGGGGTCTTGTTTTCACCGCCAGAGGCAGGGCTCTCCTCCGCTTTTAACTCGGACGGACGCAACCCTCTGTAATTGGCTGCGAACTTGACGCTGCGGTTTATTTTCTGCTGGGGGGGGGGGAGCCTATCAAAAAGTTACATCGGGAAGAAATTTAGACCGTCACTCCAACGACAAATAAAAACAAAAAAGAAGAAGCTCCTCTTAGTCAGATTTAAATGCAGGTAAATTTGCAACTGTTCAGGAAAACAAACAGACAAGTGTGAGATGATATAAAATAAAGCTGTTTTTTTTTTTTTTTGACGAATTGCCAGGCTGTCTTGAGTTGCAAGCTCATTGGAACGACTAATAAATAAAGTCCGGCGCTGCAATCAACAGGCGGGCCTTTAGGAAACTCTTGCGAGACTCATAAATTAATCACTCTGATTTCCAGGGCTCCAAACGGAGATGTCGGCGAATTAATGAAAGGAATTATTCATATTATGTATATTCTCCGACTGGCCTCGGTAAACATTGTTTTTATAAGGATGGGGTAACAGCGCTGCTCCGGGCCACTAATTATGAGTTGGACTTTTAAAAGGTTAAGTAAGCTCGTTCCCCTAATTACCCCGCATCTTACAGGGGTTACCCGGCCACGTGGCTCCTAACACGCCGTTCAGATGACAATACATACATCCTCATTGTTTCAGATCATTCATCAGACTTGTTTGAATAGAAGCGTGTGTTGTTAGCTTTGGACTTGTAATAATAGGGCAGGCGAATCATTTAGATTGTGCCACATTTCATCCAACGGTTCACTCATTTAACCGAAAAGCATTTTGAAGAGAGAGGTGGGAAAACAAAATAGACACAACACAAGGAACAGCATGAGCTGCAAATGATTTATTTGCACAGAAACTAAAAGTCTAGAAGAAGAAGAACTGCTGTTTCTAGTCATTAGTTACTTCGGTCTGCTTTTGAAATCAAATCATTAGAGGTCATGCCATGAATTTCATCCACTGCAACTAGAATATCTGGCTTAAAGATGAAAGGTGTTCAGACAAAACAGGAAGATAGTAGGGATTCTCAGGACTTCAGACTGATGACCTCAGAAAATGGACTTCTAGATGGACTTTGAGCCGGGATAAAGGACCGAGGAGGCTCCTGTGGCTCCCCGCTGTGCATGTTGTTGGGCGGGTAGATCTGAAGAGGATGTGTACTCCCACTTGACTCTGACTCTGCGAACCCAAAGTCATCTGCAACACAAACAAACTCACATGGGCTGGAGAAATTCTGGCGTGTCCGAACACATGCAGGATAAAGATAGTAATGATGACTCTCTGCAATTTTCATTTGGGTTCTAAAGTACGTGAACAGCGTGGGTTAGGGAGATTGTTTTGGATTGTAGACACAAAAGAAAAAAAAAATTACATCAAATTCACAAAAAATAAAACAAAAAATCAGACTGATTGAACCCCGAAAATCCAATGATAAGTAAACAATAGTAACTGATTCAATAGGAAAAGGAAAGACTCACTTCTGGGAGGATGAGCAACCTCGGGCCACGTCAACATTGGATCCTTGTATTTTCTCTTTTTGCCTTCTTTTGCTGCTTTCCAGTTAACAAGAAATTGCCTGGTTATTTCGTTAATGTCTTTACCATCAAGAGTGCCTGTGTAAACAAATGCATGATTGAAAAAGAAAGCATTTATTGTTTATTGTACGTATTATATATTAAAACAGCTAGAGCAAAGGATTGAAGTGTATTTCTGTTGCTCAAGAAGACAATTAATATTTACCAAGCTTTTGGCACACAACTATAAGGCGATCTCTGTACTTTCGTTGTTTACACACAGGATTTCCACTCAAATCCAATATGAGCAGCTTAGACCAGAGCTCAAACACGTCCTCCAACTCCTTCAAAACAGAAAAATATCAAATTAAGGTGCAGTTTTTTAATCACTCCTGATTCAAATGGGAGTATCTGTGTCTTTACTGTGATGCCTGGAAACCAAAGAGGAAATCGTTTCAACTTTACTGTGAACAAGTTAATGCGTGTCTGCAATAGGACGGCAAATCAGAGACAAGCACATGATTAAGCGCCAAAGAAGTGGTAAAAGTGAAGGTTAGTGTGAGGTACAAGGGCCAATAGAAAAAGGCATAAACAACACATCAGTCTGTTTTAATAAACAGTGTCGCCGGTGTCATGTAACTCCTGGTTTTCTCCTGGGGGCGATGCAAGGCTGGCTCCTCCAGCGACTTGCCTGCAGTTGTATGTTTATCTAAAGGCACATTAATCCAAGCCTGGAAATATGAATACTCTCTGGACACGCTCTGATTGTTCATTGCCTTCCTGTCTTGGCCAAAGCGCTTCCACTTTTCCAGCCTGAGTTGCAATCAGTTCAGAGGGGACCCCTTGAGCACCGTGCGCTCCCAGGTTTTGATAAATGATCGTGTCAGGGCCGTCACTCAGAAGGTCCTCACTGAAGAGGAGCCCAGCGCCAAATTGCCCCCCAGCGCGGGGGCGTGTGGAGCAACTCAGGCTGGAGACTCGCTAAGCTTGATGGGCCAGTTATGAACCTGCATTTGACCAGCGCTTCGATTCCTCTGTCCTCTCTGCCCCGCGCCCGGCTAACAGCCTCCGAAGAGGCTCCCCATTTGTCACCCCGGCTGACTGCCTGTCATAATCTATTTTAAAAATCCATAATGTTTCCTCAGGATTTTCACCAAATGCTGCAGAAAAAGAAATTGATCCTTTAGAGGGCTGTCTTTGCAGGATCAATAGAGGGAGATGGGTTGCATAAATTATAGGAAATATTTTCTGGGAATGACATGTACACTAGAATTAGCTACGTCAATGGTCAAAAACAGGAACTTATTTGCATTAAAGAAGAATAAGTCAGTTATAAAATGCTTGCAAAGTGCTGTCAGAATTATGGAGTTTTTAATCAACCTCTTTGGTTTGCAAATCAATTCTGAGTTTCACCATATTAGACAAATCTTCATTAAGTGATATTCTCTGAGATCAGGATATCAAACACTGAATCCTCCAGTTGGGAAGAAAAAAAAAACACCCAGCCTTTCAAGGAAAGAGAGAAACTTGTGCTTGTTAAAAGCCGTCAGTGAGAAAAGTCTCTAGGGAGCAGCTTGCTGATTTGCTGCATAATTTTGATCCTTTGCACGTCGAGCAGACTGGGAACCTCTGGTAGGGTTTTTGCAGGATTTGGTTCCCTACATCCCTGCTCTCCATATCATTTCACACACCGCTGCAGAAAGCTGCCGAGCAATAACAGAGTCAACTTCATCAGCTAATGAGTGTGATTTTAATATACACCGTCTGCATACTTTACTATCATGTCATGCAAAGGATTTGAGCCCCAATGTGTCTTGGAGATTTTATGTGACAAGCGGTGACGGTTTGCCCCCTTCTCTCTGATTCCCCTATATACAATTCATAGCAAGCATTTCCATTCAAAAGAAAACAGAATCTCCTTGTGATTAAGATAGTATGAATCCAGCTGCTTTGTGAATACTTGAAGATTTGAAGCCATTTTTGCAAGAAAGTCATAAGTAGTTGTATTGAAAGTTTGCCAAATGCTATGTAGAGGATAGAATCTTCAAGACACAATTCCCAGAGTGAAACTTCCTGTGGGCAGCATCATGCTATGGGGATGTTTTTCTCTGGGAGGAGCAAGGAATCTGGTCAGAGGTAATCTGAAGATGCAAGAAACAATCGAAAAGAGGAGGTAACTCAACCATTTGAATCACTTGTGTCGGCAGAGACATTAAAATTAGGATTATTTTGGGACATTCCCATGGTATGAGTAGGTACAGAGTATTCGCTTGTTGGAATGACCTAGTCAAATCCAATTTCTAATCTGTGAGTTTGTGTTCTCCATTCAGTTTGGTTTACCTGGAGGTATTTTTTTTTAAAGAAGATTGAGCAAAAATGTCTCTACAAAGATGCAAAAAAATAAATAAATAAAAATAAATCATAAATTTTTTATTTTTTACATTTCACATTCACGCCTCCCTCAGTTTTGGTCTATCAGATAATCTCCCAATAGTCAAGGTGACTTACGTCAATATGAAGCAATTTGTTCTGAGCAGCAGAAAAATGTTCGAGTTCCTTCAGCACCGACAGGTCTTTGATGTCCTCAATGTTATTGTTATTAATATTCAGCACACAAAGAGATTCCTGTGCAAAGAATTCATGTCAGTGGGGAGAGAGGAGTTCACATTCCTGATACACTAAAACACGTTTAAAGTCAAATCATCCGACAGTTAGATATAAGAGAAAGAATGAAACAGCAAATTGAAACTGGCACGTAATTAGAGCTTTTCTTAAAAGAAACACATTGGAGGGCTATTACATGAGTTGGAAAATCACAGATTCATGACAATAAGTTTTCTGAAGCATCTAGATATGTTGCCATTTGTACATCGGAACTACTGCCGGCGCTAAATATGCATTTCTGTATTAGCTCCCAGAGTTTGCAGAGACTCACACTTATTTATTTAAGTCATCTAAACAACCAGGTGTAACAGGAGCCTCTTTGGTATCAATGTTAAAAAAAGACTCATTAAAAAAGCAGCAGACTTTGTGGCTATTTCTGCGCTGCGCGATGTGAAATGCAGGTCATACAGCAAGAGCGAGGACACTTATGGGGTCAAAGAGCAACTGGTCCCCTGGCTCCAGCTGTTGATTCTCCAAATGAAGCTCTTTGAGTCCGCTGAGCTCCTCCAAACCCTCCACCACTGAAATTTTGTTCCTACTCAGATACCTGGAAAAAAATATGGGCAGGAAAATCCCCCATATGCCTTTGAGCTCAAACTGAGGACACGACACAGAATATAAATCCATTAAAAGCGTCTGCACTCACAGTTTGGTGAGTTTCTTCAGGTTGGAGAGATTATTCATATGAGTGATGTTGTTGTTCTGCAGATACAGATGGGTGAGGTTGGAGGCAAAGTCCAGGCTGCAAATCTTTGTCAAGCGATTCTCAAACAGGTAAAGCACAGTGAGGTTCCTGCACATGGACAGATCTCCCTAAAAGTTTCAAAGAGTAACTGAAAACGAATAGTTGGGAGAACAAACAGAAGCGAAGGATAAGCGATGATGTCGGCTACTCACAATCTCCTCAATGTTCCTGTTGGAAAAGTGGAGATGGGTGAGGGTCTTCAGGTATTGCAGAAGAGAGATGCCCCTTCTCTTTTTGAAGTGTTTTTCAGATTTAGCTATGAGATCTATGGTCAGACATGCCATGTTGTGTTGGCTTCAGAAAGGGTCTTTCTTCAAGTCTCTTAGCAGAGCCCACAGCACTGACCTGGCCTGTTTATAAGAAAAACACATAGATTAGCTGAAATAACAAACAAATTCCTCATAAAAACTGCCTATTAGTCATAAATAGCTTCTATTTACATAAAAAAAATCAGATGTCTAAATCTCTATTTTTGCTGCAAATTTATAATTAAAAGTAACTTGTGAAAAAATAAAAAAGACTAAACCATACTCAAAGAGGTGAACGTTTTCTAAGAGGGCAAATGCTTCGGTGACCCCTCAGTTTGTGTTGTAACAATAGCGACCCCCCTCTATGTGCAGTCTGAGCTGCTTCCTCTGCTTCCTTGTGTTCAGATCCCAAGGGACGTTTTATGAGCTTGACCTTACACCGAGGTATTAAATTTTGCACTTTGATTTTACATTGCTTGTGGAATAGGTTTTACTATTTATCACCTCTCCACCTGCTAAATAAACAGCTGTCAGCATGTGTGGCTACTGACAGATTACTACACTGGCCTGTAGGCACACGCCAGAGGGCCCAAAAAGTGCAGGGAGGTCCTGGTGATATCAGAGACATATGATATACTCTAGAATTGGACTAAAAAAGAAAATCAAATAATTGAAAGCAAAAATAATTTGATTTAAAAAGGAAATAGATTAAATAATAATATAAGAAGTTGCACATAACCCACTATTACATAACATACAAATTAACAAATGAAAACGCAATTGATAATATTAAGAACATTAACGCAACACAAAATGCGTACTACGGCAACAAATAAGGGACAAAATGAAACCGAACAACATTAAGTTCTTGAAAATATCTGCAACACATTTCATCTCAAAAGTCCATGGAATACGTTTTATAAATAGAAACATTTTTCTGTATACTTTTTCTTTCCATTCCTATCCAAATCCTTAAAATAATAATAATATATAGCATATATTAGCTAAACAATCCCTGAATCGAAAAAAGAAATGCCGCCATAGCCTTTATTTCTCTCTTTTCTCATAAATGACGTGCAAAGCTCAGAGCTGCGCCTTTAAATGCGTTTTGTGAAGTGAAAATGTAATTAAAAAAATAAATTAAATTAAATTAAAAGCGCACCGCGACACGTTTTGTGTGAACCGAATAACAAAAACATTTAACGCAGCGCCTCCTCACAAAAGGGGGCAAAAACTTACAAATTTCTCCTTCCGGTCGAGTTCAGCAAACACCTTGAAACTGAAGTAAAAGGAAGCGGCAGCGGGGAAGTCAGAAAGCTGGAGTTAGGGTCGCAAACAAAGTTTGTTTCATACTAGCACGTGGTTGTTATGGAAACAACGCAATAGCAGCAACCAGAATACGGCGGAAATAGATGTCTTTGCTTTTTTTTGAATTTTAAATCGGTTTAACTCGAAACAAGCCACTAAACTATTTAAAATACAGAGACATATACTTTAAAGTTTTTACATTTTCTTATGTTAATTTATGTTATTAAGATCAAAAGATATTCTAGATGAACATCTGAAAAGGTATCCAGTCCTAATAGACATTTAGACACTTGTTTTTTACTCATTCTTCTCTGCAAAAAAGCTGAGGCAGATTGACTGGAGTGTCTGTGAATAGCAACTTATTGATTGCCAATTGGATTCAGGTTTGGACTTCACCTGAGCTATTGATTTCAAGTTCTATTGGGTATTTGGGGTCCCAGTTTGATTTAAAAGGAATAGTTAAAAAAAAAAAATCTCTTTCACACTGAATTGCGTGAAAGATAAAGCAGAGCAGACATTGATTTGGCAAATGTGAGTCTGACGACAAATAGTTATATTTTTATAATCTACCAACATTATACATACACTTTTTTTGTTTGAAGGATCTCTTTTGCAGTTTACCCTGTTGGCCTGTTATTGCTACATTACAGAGATAATATTTCAGTAAAACACACCAAGTCAGGAACCCACCACATGCAGTGACCCCTGCATTGTTAATCTACATCATGCCATGACCTGAGCTTCCTGAGGGAGGGACCGCCCTCTACTTATGCAGGAGCACATGGTGGAGAGGAAGTGTTGTGCCTCCACATTTTTGGGCTGCGTTCTCCATCTTCACACACATCGCTGCTTAATTCGTCACCGGCCCAAGGTAAACATCTCAACATCTTACCTGGGACATTTGAACACCAGGACCTTCTTTCGGCGTCTGTAATCGATATATACTAATCTCATTAATCATCTGCACTCATGGCAGTGTCAAACGTATGATACATTCGCCCTTTGAAGGAGTAGGGACGTACTGTGGAGTTAAAATACAAAGAAAACAAAATATATATATGGTTAATGGATTTTTGGCTTTTCCTAATGCAACTTTAGTCATGCATGCAAATGTCCATCTGGAGATAATCATTATGTTTACACACTGAACAAGTTCAGTATGTTTCGATGAATCTAAAATAATGAGGAAAGGGGAATAAGGGAAAACAATATTAGCTGTGCATATTTTAAATACTTCATCAGCACTGTGACAGACATCCACGAAATTCATTTGAATATCTGGCAAAAGCATGAGCTAATCAGTGAGTTTTTGCAGAAACCTTATTTAACGAGTTTACATAATTAAATTGAATATAACAGGATTCATTTTTCTACCTTGAACCTGAAGACAATTTAGATAATAGTTTAAGAAAATTATTACAGGCCGTTGTGCCACAGCAAATGTGCATGAGAAACACCAGGCATCTCCTCCACTGCCCCGCCGGGATTCTCTCCCCTGCGACACATGACATTACAAATACACATTAAACCATTACAATACCAGAAAAACAAGACACGACACGAACGCAAGTCAAAACAGCTGTCAGTGGAAAAGAGAGGCAGACGAGGTGGACGTTCGCCTCGATGAAGAGCAGACACGCCGGGGGTGAATGGACTCCTGTGTGCGCGGCTCGCGCCTCTGCGCTGCATCACCGCCTCCGCCGCAGCTGGCGGCATCGCCGGCGCGTCTGCCGCCGAGGGCCCAGCAGCGCGGAGCGTGTGAGCCCGCAGGGACGTCCCAGGCAGGGCGGGCGATCCCCGCTGAGCCTGTGCAGGAGCTGGAGTTCGTCATTCGGTTATGTAATGCTGCGACGTGGTGGGAGCCAAATGTGGCCACAGTGGGTTATTTCAATGTTTTGCTGGCGAGGGATTTGCCTTAAAACGCGTTTCATTTAGAGGCCTAAATATACACTGTGTGTTTAGAGTATTTGGACAGTAATGTTTACCTTGACTACATTATTCAAATGATCCACTTTATCAGATGCAATGTGACCGATCACATAAAAATATATTCACGCAGGATGGTGCCTTTAGTATTTTATTTTTTTACTGCAGTTTTGTTCAACAAAAACCTTCTCCAACAGAAATGGCGGTAATCTAAGCAGGAGTACAGCCAGCCATGCACAAGAAATAATTTCGAGATAAAACTGTGTTTTCGGTGTTAATTGGTGGATGTGTTGATTTGATTGAAGAGTTTATCTTTAATGACTTGGGACATCAGGCCGTGGATTGCCTCTATGGTCGTCTTGCAGCTGAAACAAAGCAGAGTGAAAAATAAAGATTAGCAGTCGCAGCGGCAAGAAAAAAAAAAGGAGGGAGGCAGAGAATCGCTCCAAAGGTGTCCATAAAAAATATATTGTTTAGTTTCTTACATGCACAGTTACAGAACAAATATATAATGACTACAATCTGTTTAAATATTTTGAAAAGCAGATGTATGGAGTTCAAATTTATTCCATCAAATTGATTTTAAGTTACAGGCCATGTAAAAATATAGTTAGTGTAAGGAGAAGGATACATTGTTTTTGACATTTCACACATAAAAATCTGAAAAATGAAGAATGCATTTTCTTTTTCAACTCACTACACTACGATAAATCTAAACGAACCAGAGTGCACACAGTCACCTACTTACTAAGACAAAATATTAACTTTTTGACATACAAGGAAAACATAAAACATACATAATGTTGGTGGCAACATAGTACTATGGGGTTGCTTTTGCTAGAGAAGCATTAATTGAAATACTCCAATAACTTTACTATAACTTTCATAATCTTACTTGCAAACACAGTAAAAACACTCTCCATTACTATATAGCTTATGTTACGAGTTTGACTACATTTGCAAGGCAAGGTAGGTAATTAAGTCAAACATAAGTGATTTAAAGTGTGACGAATTTTTTAAAAATGTAAAGATATCCACCTGTCTCGCGTTGCTTTGGCCAGCTTGTCCTCGGATTTCCTGTCATGCGTGTCGAGGCCGAGCATGAAGCTGCCTCTGCCCAGCTGGGCCTCCGACTGCTCCAGCTTCTCCGACAGGTCGAACACCTGGCCCGTGGTGTAGTCCGAGTTCTGAGCGTCCAGCACACAAACATTCACTTACACACAAAGAAACCAGCCCATGCAGAATTTGCCAACAAAAAAAACCCAGACAACAGATTTTTCCACATCAAGAACAGCAACTGCCCAACAAGCTGCTGAAAACACTTTGCGAGCCGTGGTGAATGACTGAACGTCGGCGAGACGTTTGCTTAAGGTGAGGTCTTGTTCATAGTAAAGAAGGTAATTAAAACACAATGACTCGGGGGGGGGGGGGGGGGGGGGGGGGGGGGGGGGGGGGGGGGGGGGGGGGGGGGGGGGGGGGGGGGGGGGGGGGGGAGACGGGCCTGGCGAGGGGGACAGTGCAGAAACTGACAAAGCCTGTCACCCGCAGAGCAGCTTGTTCTTGACATCTAGTCAATTCATCTTCCTCCACAACGTCAAAGAGCTCCCTGCTTAGATAAGCCTGATGTCTGTTCAAGGTATTTAGAGGAGCGCAGGACAGAGTTACAGCAACCATAATGTAAATTGGCATGATGGGTTTTCAATATTCAGACCAAACTGCAGAGGAGGAGGGGTGGGTGAATCTTGTCCAACTTTACTTCTAAACTGTGTTAAAAAGTTCACATACAGCTTATTACTAAAGCCAACAAACACGGGGACTTAGCTAATATGCCGTAATAAATCACAACATCACAAGCTGGCAACCACATGTCCAAATGAGTTATAGTCTAATAATTAACCATAAATCAAAATGCCAAACAATTAGCGCACATTTTGGTTCTTGAAGTTGCTTACATACCGTCAGCAGGCTGGAGGAACTTAAGGTATTGACCCAGTATTTATTCCAGAGGAGTTCCAGGAGCTTTCTATCAAGGGAAGACTTGAAGTAAGTCACCTCCAGGGCGTAATACCTAAATAGGACACAATTGAGGAAAAATATGAGCCGCGAGGGCAGAATCAGAATGCAAGAGCAACATTTTAAATGCAAATGTACTCACTGTTTACAGTGCACACCAAAATCCTCAATCTTATTCAGAGGGATTGTCTGATATTCTGACGGCCCCTCATCTGGAGGTTTGTAACCCTGAAAATCCAAGGTTGATTATTTACACTTATGAACAACAAAAATAATAAGAATTAAAAAAAAATCTAATAATTATTAAAAGAGAAAACGAACTGGATCAGGAAATGTCTTTGCTATACCTTTGGGTATGTCCTAAAGGCACCGAGATTGACCTTCCCTGCAGAAATAGTCCGAGTGGGGTCGATCTACAGTAGAAAAGGGGGAAACAAAGTCAGAGGTCGTGAGATCCTCCTGGGACCGCTCAAATCTGGCCCCCATGAGCCTCCCACTCTGGCTGTCAGTGTGCTGAAAATACACACTTCATTATACGACGCCGCCAGCATTTAAGTGCTGCTGTACCAAATGAGGTGTACAAAGGGTATATGTTTGCAACAACAACAGAAAATTTATCGAGCAACTTACAAAGCTGAACTGAGACATAAATAAATCTTTTCAGTGACACATGTTGTGTTTATTTTTTTAATCAGGGATTCTGAAAGTTTCAGGGACTTAAAAGTTAATACATAATTGGAATTTAAGAACTGCATAAGTGACTTAAAATAAAAATTTGTAGCTTATTTAGCAACTTCTTAGTCTATTTAAGAGCCACTCCATCACTTAAGTAAGTAAAATTCACTTTTCTAAATCATAAACTTGTGTATTTTGGCAATACCAAACTACCAGAATCAATCTTTTACAGTCAAATCTTTTTAGGTATAAACTTTCTTCTGAAGAAAGAGCTTAAATGAAAATGTAGATTTACTGCTACAATAAAGCAGATTGAGTTTTTGCAGGGAAAGCTGAATGTTTGATGTGAGAGGGCTTTTTGCCTTCCTGGATCTTGAGGTGCAAATAAATGTACAAATTTAAGACCAAAGAAAATATATTTCATGATTTCTTAAAGAAAATGCAATCATATTTAAGAC